AACCTGACGTCGAAGGGGCTCAGTCAGGAAAGAACCCTTACATAATCTATACGGATGCGTCGCAAATGGGCGTAGGAGCTGTGCTTTGCCAGCAAGGACTGGATGAGTTTCTCCATCCAATATACTTTGCATCAAAGCGTCTGACAAAAGCAGAGCGGAACTATCATGTTACTGACCTTGAGGCGCTCGCCTTGGTATTCGCTTTGAAGAAGTTTCACTTCTTCATTTACGGCATGCAAGTGATCGCGAGAACGGATCATGCGCCGCTGACAGCGATATTTCGGAGAACTAATGTTTCTCCGCGCATACTTAGATGGGCTCTGGAAGTTCAGCAGTACCGGCTGACGATTGAGCATGTGAAAGGGAAAACAAACCCAGTTGCTGATGCACTATCGCGAGGTGTACCTATTAATACGCCAGAATTGGAAGACCTTTTCGCGGAAGAAAAAGTAGTGTGCAGCATCGAAGCAAAAGAAGCCTCCGCATGGCTGGATGAGTTACGCGATGATATCGAGTATGGGCCGATCATCGTCGCATTGGAGGAAGGAAACCTTGACAAAGAGGTGAAATTACAGTCGTCGCGAAAAAGACTCAAAGCGGCTGATTTTGCCCTGGAAAATGGTCAGTTGAAGTTCCTGTTGGAAGATGGGACCGCTGTTATGGTTGTTCCAAGAGAACGGAGGAAAGACATCTTCGATGAATACCATAGTGGCTCATTAGCAGGACATCATTCCGCTAAGAAGATGCTCGAACAACTGAGAAAGCTTGTGTTTTGGGACGGTATGCATCGCGATATTTACCGCTGGGTTAGAGGCTGTACTAGCTGTCTGCTGACGAACCCGCACAAGCGTATGATTCCTCCGCTTAAGCCCTTTGTAACAGGCAGACCATTCGAAATAGTCGCAGCTGACACATTGGAGGTGGGCAAGCAACTCCGTCCGGTAGTCGTCGACAAAAACCTTATACTTAGAGACATCGGCACTAGGGATTGTACAGGAAGGCATGACCGGGTCGAACCCATGTAGGATAAAGAAGGGACTTTCACCCGTAGCCTCATGGGGTGTAATATTATACGCATACACGACATGGGGTAGCATCACATCCCATTTATCGGGGAACTCCACCTTCTTTTTCAACATCCTCTGTATGGTTCCAATCGCGCGCTCACTAACCCCATTCTCTCTGGAGTTATAGCCTTTCGTCACCGAATGCTTAATTCCTGCAACCTCAGCTAGTTCACTCAACAAGGAGTTTAGGAATTCGGTGCCCTGATCAGTGTGGATTTGCTTGGGCCAACGCCCTCCTTCGCAGATCCAGCGATGGAACAAAGTGGTTGCAACTGTAGCAGCACTTTTATCAGGCATTGCGTACGCACCTACCCATTTCGAAAAATGATCGACTACTACAAGGACATATTTCATACCTGACAGACTGGTGGCTACAGTTGATAAGGGATGAGGTACGAGCCAATAGCGACAAATACATGATTAAAATGAAGGAGGTGTATGATCGACGAAAGGAAGTGGACGTCCTCTCCCTTCCATCGGTGAGAGGAAGAGTATTGAGATTGCCGCGCGAGAAGGTGCGAGGGAAACATCCCAAACTGACTGTGGACTGGGATGGCCCATATCACGTGTTGCAAACTGACGAAACATCGGCGCCTGTTACTAAGATAGGTAG